GGTTGACAGGAAATTGCTGACTCTGTAAAGGTATGCCTTAAATACTGTTCTTCCAAAATGTTAGCATTTACTTTCTGATAAAGTCTTGACATGATCTGGTTACTCTATGATTGATATATGTATATCTGTATATAGTTATATATATTTATATATATACAGGTGTGTGTGTGTGTGTGTGTGTTTCCAAGTGATCGTCATTTGTGTATATGAGGTTTTAAGGTTTTATCCAGGTATGACCCATTTTAAGAATATTTAACATTCAGAAATTTAGGGATAACATAAATAACAACTGTATTCAATTTATAGACAAATTCTTTACTTCCCAAAGTTTAGAATTCAACTCCAAAGATAATATTTTAGACAGATTTTAAAGTTTAAGTTGAAACTATATTTCTGTGAAAGTGATAATGGATAGACCTCACTGTTAACATCATTTTATTCTTAAAAGCTTACTCATTTCCTTTCTAGAATTGAGACCCCTGAACGTACTTAGTATTCCAGAAGCAAAAGTACTTTATTTTTCCATTTCTTTTTTTAAAGCATTTTTGTAACTCCAGTATGGAAGAATCTGATTTCACTAAAAACATCATGTTGCACAGGCAGGAATACAGGGAGTAGATCAGCTTTGACAGCCTCAGTAATTTCTAAGGGTGTTTTGAGGGCAGAAATATCACAAGCCTTGAAGTGTTAGCATTGAACATTTCAGATTCATTTAGATAAGTGATTTTTATTGTTTTCATTTACGAGGACCGGCTGTATGGATAGTGGTAGAACAAGTTATAAGGGGGATTGAAGGCAGAAGGTAAGACTTCTTTGGGGAACTGACAGTGTATCAATGTGTGACCAACTCGCCCAAAATAAATAAATGAATGCAAGGCAATCGAGTTGAAAAGGCATACCCTTAGAATCTTCGAGTAAGACATAATTAGAGGTAACCTTAGTGGAATTGACATTTTTAAACTTTTCTTCACTCCTTTTTTTTATGGAGTGTGTTTTTATAGATAAAAGTGTACAGTTTTTCATAATTGAGAGGTGGTATTAAGTTGACCAATTTAAAAGTCAAAGTAACAGAAGTAGGTTTACTAGGACAGTGCTTGCACTGCCTTTTATTCGTGGAGGGTTTTCAGCAACAGTGAGAATACGTGTATTTTAGTATTTTTATGAAGTTCAATAGAAATTGCATTTAACTGTAGAGTTAGAATTTCCTTTATACATATTACATTTTTAAAATTAACTATTATAGGGAGGTTTCTTAGATTTTGACCAATGTACCAATTTTAATACTGTGATAAATAGTTTTTAGAGTAGCTATGTTAGCATTCTCTCTCCCTTCCATCCTGAAAGAACTGAAGTTGAGGTGGGAAGGAAGCACTGTCAGCAGCCTCTCCACAGCAGAAAGAGCAGTCCTAACCTTTTGGAGTGTCCTAGGGTTTCTGGGAGTCCTTGAGCATTTCCTGTAATTCCTAGCAACTTTTAGGGTTTGCTGGGTTCTGGCTGCTCGTCTGTGCTTCTCATTCTACCTGCTTCTCTCTCTGACCCTGCTATCTATGATCAACACTCTATTCTCTTGTTCTTAGGATACACTAGACACTAAGGCTAAGCATTTCGTAAAATCCCTTTAGCCCAGTATTATAGTTAGAACCTAAACTTCCCTGTTTTAAAATTGAGGAAACTGAGTTTAACACTTAAAGAAATTTGTTCAAGATGATGAATTTAAAAAACAGTGGAAGTGAGGATTTATTTAAACCCAGGCGTTTCTTGCTTCAGATGCTACTTTCTTAGGCTTTCTGTGGCTTCCATAGCTACAATACCTTCCTCACATTTCCCTGTTTTATTGTCTTGATATGGTTTTGTTACTCTTTGAAATTACTTTGTTGTACCTTCTATTCCCTGCTGTCTCACATCGACTATCTTCTTCATTGCCGTCTATCCATTCTAGGAGATTGCTCAATGAATTTTTAAAAATTTCAATATAAATTTTTACTGAAACTAATTTTCCAAGGAGTTTGTTGGTCCTTGGAAATTCATCTGTGGACCTTAGGTTAAGAACACTTGCAGTAAGTATTTACTTGACCTTAAGTAATCCCAAGGATGTCAATGTGTGGTGCTAATGGCATGTCTCAGTCAAGTTCAAGTTTGTATTCCCTAAATAAAGTAACATAGTAACAAGCCTTACATCCCACACTATTCTTAATTCTTCATTAATTATAGCACTTTTAAAAGGCAGAGATAAAGTTTGCTTTTAGTATCCAGTAATTTTTTGAATGAATTAATAAAACATACAATATATTTTAGAAATGTTTGCTAGTCATCTTGTATTATATCCTTTCAGCTGGATGCTTCAAGTAACACCTACTTTGACTTTAAGTTCACATTTTTATGTTACCAGAAAATCCCAGTGAGAATTAGGAATTTTCAGAACCAGCAATTCTCCTCAGAATCTGTTCTTACTCCAGGCTGATGTGTTTAAGGTCTACAGAGATTTTTTTTTTTTAAGTGTATTATGTGTGCTTACAATCTGGTTTTTAAAATGAATGTGATTTTTATTTGTTTTAGTGTGGTAGCCCATCAGGATATGTGGTCATCTGCCTTTCAGAGTCCACATGATATGTGCCTGTTCAAATCATGTGAACAGTTATATTGCTTAAGGCAGGAAAAATACATCTGTAGATTGTTCTCTCTACTTCTGATATTCCATGGACTATACAAGTCTAAGTCCATCTCTTCATTTTTCATTTTGGATCCAAATAATTTCATGAGTAACTATATCCAAATAGTATAAATCTGTAATTGAAGAATTTTTTATTTTTCAAAATTTAAATCATCTGTGAGTTAAAATTAAATAGTTATTAACAGTGGTCGTAATTATACTTATTCTATATAATACTGAATATTAAATAAGACCTGGATTTATTTCATCCACTCAAATGACAGTAGCTTTATTTTTCTCTACTCTTCTTACAAAGTAATTTTTTATTAACTTTTCATATATAATAACTCAACCTCTGTTCCCTTACTTTTGAAGTATTGACAAATAAAAATGAACAGAAATGTGGTTAATTGCAAGTGCAAGTAAAGGAAAATTTAACAACTTTTCTTAAAGTCACTCTCAGGGTATCATCTGTTTTTTCCTCTGAAAGTTTTTAGAAATCAATATTGTCAAGAGTGATAAGAAATTACTACATTCTTATATTCTGCATGGCAATGTAAACTGGACTAGCTCATACAGGAAATATTTCAGCTGTATGACCAAGAATCAAAATAATGTTCATTTTCTAGGACTTAGTAATTCCACTTTTGAGAGTTTATATGAAATCGTTCAAAAGAAACCAATTAACCAAGAACCATATTATCACACTGGGGAAATGACTAAGTAAATTCTAGCAGATGTCGTTATTGTATGGTTAAGCAGACATTCAAAAATCATTTATAAAGATTTAACACAATATTGAGAAGTGAAATATAAAGTTATGGGGTTTTTTTGTTTTTGTTTTTGTTTTTGTTACAGAAATTATATATATGCTATGGATTAAAAAAAGGCAAAAATTGAAGGATGAAAATTGATATGTTGTTGTGAGTTTGTTGCTATTGCATAATTTTTTTTAAAATACTAGGTTGACAAGAATGGCTTCTTCTAATATTTTATCTCAAGAAAAAATTGTAGACACAAAATAGAAAACACTGAAACATTCTGCAATAGTAATGGCGCACAAGGTAATTCCAATACTTGAAATTTTAAAGGAAAGTGATTTTTCTAGTTTTTTGATTTACATCTTTAGCTTCTTAGACTATCTGTGCTCTAACTTCATTTTTTAAATTGTTTTAGAGAAAATCATCTATATAGATATAGATATATATAAAACGTAAAGTTAAATCAAAGCATATCAGAGATGAGCGTGTACCCTGTATAAATATTTCAAGTGACAAATACCCTTTTACTACGTAAACTATAGTGTTGGTTGACACACTTTGTATTTTTCTCAGGTTCTATCAAAGAAAGCAAGAGATGGAAAATTATTGCCTGAAGAGTACCAAGGAGGATCTTTTAGGTAAAATTTAAACTCAATTATCAATAGGATTGCACAGATAAAAGACTTATGAAGTCCTTGTTATCCTGTTTTATTTATTTTCTGAAACATTTTTTAAAATTTAAGTTAAATATCACATATTTTATTTAGATAACAGAATATGAGAAAATATTTTCAGACTAATCAGGTTTTCATATCAAAGCTAGTAGGAACCCATTAGGGTTAGCTAGTTAACCCATTCAGATGTTCATAGAATAACATTCACTCTGAAATTTTAAAAAGTACATAGGAATACAATAGATTTGTAAACCTCAACTATTTTTTTTTCTACTTGCGATCTCTTTTAAGGTACTTTAGAGAGAATATTAACACTTAGACCCTTCAGTTAATATCAGGTCTGTTTTCATTTAAGTGTAACTTACACACAGTGAGTGTAGCTTGAATGTGAAAGAAACCTGTGTAACCAACCAAAGCAGGATATACTTCCTAATCATCACCTCCAAGGTAACCACTATTCTGACGTTATCACCATAGATTTGTTTTGCTGGCTTTGATTTTTATATACATACACATTCTTAGTGTCTGACTTCTTTTACTCAGCATTAATGTCTGTGAGATTACCTATGTTGCTGTGTGAAGCATTCACTTATCTGATATTATTACAGTATATAGTATTCGGTAGTACACTGTATAACTATGCCAGTATTTTACCATTGTTGAGCATTTTGTTGTTTACAGTTTGCTGCTGTTACAAATAATGGTGCTATTTTATGTGTGTCTTATGGTGACTACATATGCACATTTTTGTTTTATAGACCTGAAAGTATAATTGCTGGTTAAACACTTTGATAGGTATTGCCAAGCAATTTAACAAAATGATTATGCAAATTTATATTTATTGGCATCAACAGTGTATGAGAATCCCCAGTAATAATGTTAGGTTTTAAATTTTAACAATTCTTAGGGTATATAGTGGTACTCTGTGGTCAGAGAAATGCAAATTAATAATGTTGAAAACTGTTTTCTTTTATCTCTCAGCCATTGGGGTATATAGTAACTCATCAGATAAAGTACGTGTTGAAGTCTTATAGCTATTTTTAAAAATGATTTGTAGGAGTTCTTATTTCCAGATGCACAGACCTTTGTAAGATATATATTATTTCAAATACCATTGCCCACTCTGTGCCTTGCCTTTGGAACTTTCTTGATGGTGTTTTCTAATAAACAGAATTTCTGAATTTTAATGAGGTCCGATTTATCAGTAGTTTTCTTTATAGTTGGTACTATTTGTTTTGTTAGGAATTATCGCCTAAAGAGTCACAAAGTAGTTCTTCTATATTACCTTCTAGAAGCTTTATAACTTTTTACATGTAGATCACCATCTGAAATTGGATTTTGTTTATGGTATGAAGATAAAAGTCAAGATTCTCTTTTTTTCCTCATATGGATATTAATTTGACCCTGTGTCATGTTATTTAAAAGGTTACTCCTTCTCCATAGCATTGAGAAGATGGTCGTGCATGTGCTCTGTCTATTTCTATGTTCTTTCTTCTTCTTTTCCATTGGCATATTTGTTTATCCCTGGCTAAGTACCACCAAGCTATACTTTGATAGTGGTGATAAAAGTTTGCCAGTTTTGTTCCCTCTCAAGATTGTTTTTCCTGGCTCTGTGTATTTCCAAGTAAATTTTAGAATCAACTTGTCATTTTTCTTACATACACACACATACATATAAACCTTACTGGGATTTTGATTGGGATTGCATTGAATCTTTTGGTTAGTTTAAGGAGAATTGACATCTTTACAGAACTGAGTTTTCCAGTCAGCGAACATGGTATAAACCCTTGTTTATTCAGTATTCTTTTATTTCTTTTAGTTATGTTTTGTGCTTTTCCATATAGAGGTCCTACATATGTTTCATTAGATGTATTCCTTGATATTTTTTGATACTATTGTGAATGGTATTCTTAAATTTCCTTGACCTTTTATCTAGTGACTTAGCTAAATTCACTTATTAATCTGATGAGTGTATCTGTAGTCTTAGATTTTCTCTGTGCATAATCAGTTCACCTGTGGATAATGACAGTTTAATTTTTTTTCAGTCCTTAAGACCTTACATTTCTTTTTCTTGCCATATGCCACTGCCTAAGACTTCCAGTTCAATTCTGAACAGGTGTTTATATTAGATATAATATTTGTATATGCGTTAATATTTGTTTTTTTGTTACTATTGTAAATGTTATTTATCTTTTGTCTTTAAATGACTTGGTATAAAGTCTGTAGCACAGTTTTTTAGTTAAGAAAAATTCATGCTTGGGGAACGGGTTCTTTGATTGAAGACATGCCACCTTCAGAGCTTTTTGTTTACCCCTAGTATTTCCAACTTGGGGATGTTTGGCATCGATGAATTTACTGCAGTGATCAACCCTCCTCAGGCCTGCATTTTGGCTGTTGGGAGATTCCGACCTGTGCTGAAGCTCACTCAGGATGAAGAGGGAAATGACAAACTCCAGCAGCACCAGCTCATCACAGTCACAATGTCAAGTGACGGCCGAGTGGTAGATGATGAACTAGCTACCAGGTTTCTTGAAAGTTTTAAAGCAAACCTGGAGAATCCTATTCTGCTTGCCTAGTCCTCAAAGCTAGAGTTGTTAACAGAAATATATACTATGTGAAAAAATTAGGTATTTAAGTGTGAAGTGGATGAAATGTTGTTTATTTAAGGTGAAGGAATTTGACCCAAGTTGTCTTCATTTTCAACTTGGGTTTCATATTGTAGAAATAAATGATAACAAACTGTTTCTAATAAAAGAAGGAGAACATTTGTTTAGTCAGAGCCATTTTTAACCTCTGGTGCTGTACAAAAAGGGTGTTAATAAACTAGATGTAAGTTATATTATATGTTTGGCTCCTTGAAGCATTTTAGAATATTTGAGAATGTATGATAAATTGTAAACTAAACAAATTGTTATAATTCTACTTAATTGTATTGAAATTAGAAATGATCTTCAAAGAGATGCCCATTAATTTAGCAGTGGGACCTCACTTTTACAGTACTGCTCTAGATATACTTGAACAATTTAATATGTACAGAATATGTAATATCCTGGAGAATAGTAAATAAATAAGGATCACATTGTATTAGGGGTTTTGGCAACATTATTGAATTTTTTATGTATATAAAGCCATATGTTTTAGAGTGCTTTCTATCAGTCTTATTTTTCACTTCTGTATCACTGTGAACTTCTGAAGAAGAAGAAAAAATCAAAAATGAAGAGACCAAAAAATTTGTTTGTTTCAATGGTAAACTACAGTTTAAATATCTGTACCCTCAGAAGTAACTGCTTGCCTTTATAATAAGATGGAATATATTAAAATAAATTATGCTATTTCCTCCAAACATTTTAAGTTAGTATTGATTATAACACAAAATGTTGTTTCTTAATGCATTTTAATCAAGTTTGTATTGTGCAATAAGATGTGAGAATATATAAAAATTTCTATTGTGTTTTAAGTGTTAGGACACAGAAGTTTAGTGAAAGCTCGAAGTAGATTAGTGATTTTCCAGGAACAGCTTAAAAGGAACTCTACAGAAGGAAAGAAGGAATTTAAACTTAATATGACAGGAAAATAACGAATATGGAATGTAAACTTTAGAAAGAGAGTAGAAGAGAAGGCTTATGAAGCAGGTGAGAACTATCCTTTTTAATCTGTCGATATGGAATTTTCACTAATTATTGTAAAGATTGAAAGAGCTTATTTCTATTAAAAACTGCTACAACTGGCAAGATAGTTGTACCAAAAAATTAGGTGGTAATTTAATTAACTAGTCATAGAAAGGCTCATGTTAGTATCTGCTGATATGTATCACCAAAAGAAAGACTATATTGGTACAAGTTGTATGGGATGACATGAACTACATACACTTAAAGAAAGAGCCTCTGACATAGAGCCACAGTCTATCAATTGTTAAGAAAATGCTTAATCCAATTGCTCAGTTTTAACAAGCTTTTTAAAAAATAGTCTTTAGAACTTTTGTCATATTAACAATTGTACTGAAAGTGGGAACCAAATGCTACTTTCAAAACAACTTTTATAAATTATTTTATTTCAGTCAGTTTTAACTGAAATTTGTGTGTGTATGTTTTTCTAATTTTTATATCTGAGAAATAGAGCATGTAAAGCAGCAGCCAGTCTTAAAATATTTTTTTTCTGGCTAAAGGGTTAGAACAGTGAATACTAGTATAATTATTTGGGCTGCTTTTAGTATCTCTTACTCAAAATTAGTAGATGATAGAATTCAAGAACCTGTTATTTGTTATTACTTGGTATATTGATAATCATTGAACGTAAAGACTCAAAAAAAAAAAAAAAGGAATTCCAACCCATAAACTCTTGGCTTGGATCTGTTTTCCATGGGCTGAGATGCATAAACCATACTGCATCTCATTCTCTGTAGGGGACATGAGTGTTGATCCCCACCCCAGCTCGCCTTATAAAGTTGTTGTGAACTGCACAGGAGAAATGCTGTATAAATTGAAGACATTTTATTTCTTCATGGACATCACAACCAGGCTTTTCATATAATGAGTTGCTTCTCATAGTTTGACTTTTCAGGGTTTCACATCTCAGCTGTTCATATAAATGCTCATTTATGCTGACTAAAAGTATTTTCTCTAGTATTACTATACTGCTTAGGTTAATGTAAGGAAACTGGCATTTCTATAAAGACTTTTATTGCAGCATGAGGTCAAAGAATAACACTGATTTGAGAAAGGAGTATGGTGTACTTGGTTTGGATCATTATAGAGAATGAATTGTATACTGCATGAGCAAGCTGTGTGTGTGTGTGAGTGTGTGTGTGTGTGTGTATTTGTAGTATTGATAGATTTTACACTGAGAGGATATAAAAATGAAATTTTATACCTGGTTATTTTTTCATTTAAACAGGGAAATTGACTAAAATATTGGAAAAGACTTCTAAAGAAAAGGCAACACACATTACAGTTAACACCTTGGGCATGAAAATATCAATGAACATTAGAATTTTTAAGTCAAAACAGCCCTGCTTCTCCTTGAGTGCAAGTTCTAGTTAACATTTGCAGGTACAGTTTGCTCACTGACTTTTTTGTGGCAGATTAAAATGATCATTATACTGCTGGCAAGACTCCTTTGTTTGAAACGTTACTAAGAAATTTGTGTATACTGGTACAAGTATTTTTTGTATACTGTCAAATGGAACTTGTATTTTTAGCTTTTTTTTTTCTTTTTTTGCATTTTGGACTTAATTTCACTCTACATTGTATAAGCCAGCCATTTGGGCGTTATGCTAAAAGTAAACCTAGTTTCCTAACCTTTTATTGAAAGGTAGATGGTGCTGTGAGTTAATATATTGTACTTAGAGTGTGGGAGAAAAATAAAAGTGGCATTTAAATTTTAGTTTTCAGGGAAAATTTGTTCTCATTACACATTGCATTATGATGGACTTTGTCTCAGGTAAAGTGAATAAGTGAAAGAACCCAGTGTGTGGCAGGTAAGAATTAACCATTTATTTAAATATGACCTTGTTAATGGGAGACTTTCGTTGGTCTTTGAAGAAAAAAGTAACTATGCAGAATTGCTTTAAGATTAGCCACAATATGAAAGGTCGGTTAAAACAGAGAGGACAGCAGTCAGCAAGAATGAGTTGGAAGTTTTTGCTATTATGAAAGTATGAGTTGTCCTAGGTCAAGTGGCTTTAAAGAAGGGAGAAAATCAAGACTATTAGGCATGTTAGTTTGCTGTGGTGTATTATCAATACATGAGGCAAGTGTGTGCTGTCAGATAATGCATCAACCATGATGCTTTTCCCAGTCCAAAACACAGTGCCCTGTGGCCCCCATCACCAGCATACAAAAGATTAAGGTCCTTATAAGTTATGTACAGCAAGTAGTATATTTCAGAGGACATTTAAACTTTTTATAAATGGAGAAAGCAATAGTCCTCCGATTAAATTATTTTAGTTTTGTGGATTTAGCATTTTTATTTTCTAGTGTCTTCGGTTTTAAGAGATGGGGACAGGCACGGTGGGAGGGAAGGTATGGTTTGTCTAGACTTGTAATATTGAAGACACCACTTAATTAAAATGATAAGGAATAAAGATGTTTTTTGAAAAATTATTAGCCTAAGGTGGCTGTCTTTTATTTCTTTGATCATATAAAGTTTACTTTCACATTTATCACTTATCTACATTTTTTGCAACAAATCCAAGCAGCCTTTTTCTTCCTAGCAAAGTAGCTTTTTTAAAAACCTCTATTGTAAGCTCTACTATATGATATGTACAATTAAGGGAAACTTGGGCTTTTATGAAAAGTTGAGAAATTATTAGCAAAGTCATTAATTAGTCATGATTTTCCTTTATCCACACCTAAAATAATTTATTTTTTCTGAAATTTCTTATTTTATGAAATTCTTCATTCCTGTCACTAAAAGCAGGACTTTAAAGATAAGGCTGTTGTGATCAAATTAAATGATAGTACTAGCACTTCATAAAGCATAAAGTGTTATAAGAATCTAAGATGTTAAATATTTAATACCACAAATTACATTTATTCTACACTTTTTTGTCAGTGGCTCATCAGCAGTCTGTTTGATAGGGAATGACATTTACCAGGAAGCTTATAGGATGGTACTTAAGAAATTAACCATTTTTCTCAATGAAACTCCTGGCTTTTAGTACAGACTTTGTTTCCCAAGTTGTGTACTTAAATCAAGAGTATTTTAAGCCTGTTTTCAACTTTTATCTATAAATTACTGTATTCTCAGTAAAAACCTTATTGCTCTGCTTCAGTCTTACCTATAAAATGAGGAAACAGGAGGAAAAATTAATCACAATGGTGTTGACTTATCTTGTTTAATCTCAACTCTAAAAGATAGGTATATCTTACTTTGCAATCATCATTGTAAGGCAGGATAAGGAAACAGACTCAGAGATGATGTAATTTGGCCAAAAGCACATGGCTCTTTCTATGCAGCGCCAAAATTCAAGCTCACTACGTTACAGTATACAGCTTTCTAAACTGTATTCTTGCTGCCGAGATAGTTCTGTATTAACAGGGAGCAGTTTCCACTTGCAAGAACTGAAGGTTCTCTTCTTTGGTAATAACACTAATGTATTTACTCCATGACCACTTTTAAATCAATTTGGATGTTCTCTGCAGTGGTTCTTTTTGTGCTTTTATGGTGGTTGTAAGCAAGAAGTGCTGAGGGATTTTTATTTTAAATATGGACAACTACTGTCAACTTGAAATACTGAAGTGTTAAAACTTCTGTGTCTGAATGGAAGGCTTAGAAAAATACAAGCTTAAAAAAATTAGAAGCTTTGTTTCTCTATAGATAAAATCATGATATAGAACATGACACTTTTAATCAGTATTTTTGAGTCTGTTCCAAATTCAGAACCAAAAGTAGTTACCTCTGTGTTTATTTTGGAGGCTTCAGGCTTCTGTGTTGACAGTTTTATCAGTCAGGGTGGCAGAGAAGATCATTGCTGTGCCCAGGCCAGATCTGTCTGCAGTTGCCAGGGAGATATGAAGCCACCCTCTAGGACACAGGTCAGCCTCAGTTGCTAGGCTGCTGCACTTAGGGGGATCGGGGTGTCACTACAGGTGGGAGGCCTGGAGCACCAGAGCGCATGGGGTCTGTTGAGAGGGCTATGAGAAGGTGGTCACCAGGCTGAGCTGGGGCTGCCATTCTGGGCACATAGCAGGGGCAAAGCATCACTGGATGTTTTAACATCTGCTGACCAGCCATGCATCGCTAGAATTACCTAATAGAATTACCTTAGTAGAAGGCTTGGACACCTTCTACTGAGAAAACTTAACACTGTGCTTGCTGTAAAGGAGAAATGCTCAAAAGAATCATTGATTATTTTAGAGCAGGTATTAAAGGGTATGTTTGAATCTGAGATACAATATATTAGTAACTGGCACAACAACCCAACCAGAGAGGCTGAGAAGTAAAATGGGACCTTTTAATTTGGAATAATATCCACTGATAAGTCACCTTAAAAAGATGTAGCAGTCTGTATGTAGAAAACTAGACTGGAGGTAATATTGAAAATATTGTCACTTTATTTCAAGTAAATTCCCCTATTTTCTAGGTGAGACATTTATTAAAATGTGAAACAAGAAAATGTTGAAATGCATTATTCATGGAACAATGGTGAACGTCTGTGCCTGGCCACTGAGGATTCATACATAGCTAACAGCCCTTACCCTCGATCAACTTAAACTGGTAAATAAAAATTTTTTAAATTATCATTTGGGAAATTCTCTACTTTACATATTTTCTAGGTAGATATTTCAATATATTTTTTCTAGTTCTCTAATTACTTAGCTCTCATTAAATGGTTACAGACCTTG